AAAAAAAAAAAAAAAAAAAAAGCAAAATACGCCAAATCGAAACCTAACAAGAAAAAATTAAAATAAAAAAAAAATAACCAAAATATGCCAAATCCAAACCAAAAAAAAAAAATTTAAGCAAAATACGCCAAATCCAAACCCAAAATTGAAAAAAAAAAAAAAAAAAATGGAAAGGAAAATATGCCAAATCCAAACCCAAAATAAAAAATTTATAAAAAAAAGGCAAAAAGGACAATTTGGTAATTTAACAGGAAGACACCTCACCAAAAAGTCAAAAAGCCAAAAAAGTCAAAAAAACTCTTCTCAAATCAAGCTTTTTAGCCCCAAACTAAAATAATTCAAAAAGTCAAAAAGCTAACCCACTTCCCAAACGGAGGCGCAATAATCACCCTTAGAAGTCCATCTAGCATTTGGTTAATTTTAGAATCTTAATTCCAATAAAAAAAAAAAATTCAAAACTTGTGACCAAACACTCAGGAGCATACTGGCAACAACAGTAAAAAGTCATTTTTTTTTTGCTTTTTAGCCTTTTTCGTCAAAAAAATCAGTTTTTTTTTATCCAAAACAACCCAGCTTTTTATCAAAAAAGTCAAAAAGTTAACTTTTTACCAACTTCCCAAAACACCCATCAATTTAAATCTCTTTTCAAAATCTATAATCAAACTCTTTTCAAAACTCTATTTCAAAAAAAAAAAATTTCAAAAATTATTTTTTATTTTGTTCTTTAAAATTATTTCTTATATTTATTTTTTTGAAAAGATATTTTTTCAGAATTTTTAATTTTTATTTTTGAAGAAAAATATTTTTTTTATTATTTTTATTATTTTTGAAAAAATATTTTGCTATTTTTTTAAGTATTGGCCAAATAATTTATTATGATTTAGAGATATATATATATATAGGTGATCCAAAAAATTTTAAAATTTAAAAAATTAAATATTTCAAGAAAATAAAAAATATTTAAAAAACATATAAAAAATATTTAAAAATAAAATAAAATATTTAAAATAAAATAAAAATTATAAATTTAAAATTTAAAATAAAAAATAATTAAAATATTTTTAAAAATATAGTGCACAAATATAGTAAATACAGCACACATTAAAAAAATAAAAAATATTTACCCTAAAAAAAATTAAATTAAATTTTTTAAAAATATTTAAAAAAAATAAACCCAAAATAATTTTAAAATACAACTCAAAACTCAAACTCCTTTCAAAACTTATAATCAAACAAATTTTCTCTTTTTAAAAATTCATCTTTCAAAATATAATTTTACACTCAAATCATAATTTTAAATTTAAACTAAATGGAAGAAGTTATTTTTTAAAAGAGGCAGACTACAAATAACAAAAAGTGGTCACTAATTTTGTCATCAATGCATGAAGTTTGTTGTCTCCAAGTTTCGTTGTCTATAGATTTATAGGCGAACTTCAATTTACTCTTTGGTTTGGGCTATGTGTGGTTTATTCCTTAACATTCGGATATCACCATAAGTCCTCTGTGGTTGATAGATTAAAACGCACACTAACTCCTGTTAACAGAAATTGTAAATTGACAATTATACTTTCATATATATATTATTTCAGGAAAAACTCTGCCCTTCCTCTCTCCATGTTCATCTTCTTATTCTCTCTCACCATTTCAAACTTTATATGTGCACATATATATACATATGTATGTACATATTTGATAGCACACTATGTGCTCAGATATTCATCAACTTTTATAATTGTTGACCATAATTTTTTCTAACCATTCCAACTCAACTTTAGGAGCAAAATGAGAGAGAAGAAAAGAAACACGAGAGAATTGATGGGTCTTTTTTGTTTGATAGGTAAGAGAGTTGGTGATTCACATAGCCTTTAAATATCATAGCAAAAATATAAAATAAATGAAAAAACCTATTGGGAAATCAAAATGAAATAAGTTTATTCATTCAAACATTTCAACGAACACTTCCAGTAGATTATGCAATCCAGTTGGGAAATCAAAACACTTCCAGGTAACGTCCGTTTATATGTCGTTTCGTAACCGTGAGCATTGATGACAGTATGTTGGAATTCAATGATTAAAGGGTGTTTGGGTTGTGGGAGTTTGAATATGTCCAGGAAACTTTTTGATGAAATGGGAATCGCAGTGAATTGAAGTACTCTCTCTCTCTCTCTGTTCACATCAATGGCTGCTTTAAACTCCTTCTGTTAAGGTACTATCTCTCTCTCTCTATGTATTTATGTATATGTCTTGAGTTCAATTGGGTTCTACACAGCGCCACAAAAGAGAAGAAAATTGGAATTGGGTTTTGGTTTTTGAAAACAGGGCTTTAATAAATGTAAGAGCTTTGGGGACTATCAAAACATCGCGAGTAAGAGGACACTCCCTCCTCTCCCAAACTCATCGCCCTTTTCATCTCCCAATTCAATTTCGCAGGTACATACATACATACATATATATATATATACACATGAATTCCTGTAATGTGTATTACAGGAATTGGGTGTGATGGATATGGATGGTGGTTTGAGGGAGGAGAGAGAGAGATAAGAGAGGTGGTGAACGTACACCGCGCCAAACTACAAGATAAAAGGGAAGTTTGCCCTAGATTTATTCTTTCAACAATGATTCATCACACTAAAAATATCACCACTAATAGTACTAATGTATTAAAAAAGTAAAAAAAATATATATATATATAACTCAAAGACCAAAACATCACATCATTAATGGCGGGACCCACTGCCACATAATTAGTGGGAGCACTAATTAATGCTCTCAAGCATTTTTCTTATTCTTTTGAAAACAAGAGAGGCTGCAAGATGATTGCCAGTGAGATATGCGGGTTAAATTTGACTGTCCGTGATTAAAATTAATTGCCGTTGATGAGATAGATTGTTGTCACTGTCAAATAAATTTATTGATTGTTGAAAGTGATTTTCAACTAGAGGTGAGATATGATGTAACGGAAATGAGCCATAGCTCGAATCCAATGGCTCGAATTGGCTCGAAAGAAGGAGAGAAGAGAGGAGGAAGAAGCAGAGGAGAAAGAGGGAGAGAAGAGAGGAAGAAGAGAGGAGGAAGAACAGAGGAGAAAAAGAGAGAGAGGATCGTCGCTGCTCGCCTCGCCACCGCCGTCGCCTCGCTGCCGCCGATCGTCGCAGCACCAGCGATCGCCGACTCTGCCTCACCTCCGCCCCCCGGCCCCCGCTTCGAGCCGCAAATGTTGGGGTCCCTCCTCCTCCTCCCCCTCCAGTCCCTCCTCCTTCCTCCTTCCTCCTTCCTCCTCCTCCCCTCCTCCTCATCCTCTTCCTCCCTTCCCTACTTCTGGTTCTGCTTCACCTTCATCTCAAAAACGAGGCCGTTTTTGAATTCGAGCCATTTCGAACCGCTCGGTTTCGAGCTACCTATCACTGCCGATGATGTAATATGTTTGCCAGCATTTAGGGTTCTTAATATTGAACATAAGAATGGACATATATTAACCCTTGAACTTGATGGACTTGCACTAAAGTAATGAAATAGGGCCCATTTCTCTCTCTAACTTTCCAATTTAGGGGTTGTTTAGGTGTCCTAAATAAGTGTATTTTTTTGTCTTTTTGGACTAAAAAGTTAAGGGAAAAAATATGGATGTTTGAGTTAACTTTTTGACTTTTCATAAAAAAATATGTAATAAAAAATTGTAAAAATTGATTTATAGAAAAAAATTAAAATTGAGAATTGTGCAACCGTAATTGTTGACTTTTAATGAATAGTGTTAACTTTTTAACTTTTTAACGTTTTGACTTTTTTTACGTATCCCAAACTTGGCCTTATTATGAAAAATGTGCGCATTATTATTGTAGGATTTTTTTTTTTTATAAAAACTTTAAATTGTGTATGGTTTGATTATCAAAATAAATTTTCTGATTTTTTATTTTATTTTATTTTTTTATTTTTTATTTTTTTTGTAAAACTGTCTTTTATACTAAATGCTATTAAGGGGAGGTGCCTTTAATACTAAATGCTATTAAGGGGAGGTGCCTTTTATACTAAATGCTATTAAGGGGAGGTGCCTGAGGGCAATGTATATATTTGACTTTATACTATCCATGCTATTTTTTGTATTCAATCATGATTTTATATTTTATCTCACTTTGAAAAGAGTTTAAAAGTGAACTTTTTAATGTTTACATCTCGTTTATCAACTAGATAGTTTAGTTAAAAAGTCATTATAAATTATCAAATCATTTTTTTTATTTTTCTATATATCTTTTTATAAAAAATTAAAAAATTATTAAAATAATTCTTTATTTGGCATTGACATTTTTAGCTGACGTTTTTGTGTTAGAACTTTTTTGGCCTATTTTTTTAGTCTCTTTTGATTTAACTTTTTTAACTTTTGTAAAAGAAAAAATGTAATTATTATAATTTAGATGTGATATTTTATCTTATTAATTTATATAGCCAATTTTATCTTTTTGTATGTTTTTAACCAAAAATCTAAAACCAAACGAAGCTTAAGTTGTTCCCAAACGATACATTAATCTCTTTTAAATCACATCACCTATCTACTTTTTCACATTTTTTTTCAAAAAAAAGTCAAAAAATTAATTTTTAACTAACTTCCCAAAATATATTAAATTTTATAATTTTTTGAAAGAAGAAATTATATTTCAATGAGAACTACAAATAATTACACCATTATGAAAATGTAAGTGAACTTGTGCTCTGAATGCAAATAAAAGTTGTAACAAAAGACACGTCTCTCAATCAAACCTCGGTAAAGACAACTATTTTTGGAGTTACTCATTTAAAATGCAATTTCACCTAAAAATTTTGTAACGTTTCCTACCACATGAAATCTGCTGAAAAGACAGTGATATTCATATAGTGACAAATATCATTTTTTTCTAAAATAAAGATTCAGGCTATGTAATGGGGAATCAATGAACCTCGGTCATTTTAATTTCAAATTGGGTTAATGAACATAGCTTAATAACCATCCCTGCAGGCTCATCCATGGCTGATCCAAAAGAAGAATGTCATATATATATAATAAAAACTCTTCTTTTTTTTAACTCCAAACAAACATGGCTTCGAGAACCAGCGAAAAGGGATTTGCAAGACTCATTGTTAAAGCCAAAAGTAACACCTCCAAACAGATACTCCTCGCAAATTTTATCCGCAGCACAACCCAAACGCTCCAGAATTACAAACTGAAATCGACAACAGTTTTAACAAACCAGAGGCACAACGCGGCCAATCCAAGCCTACGCCATCCAATCCCAAATGCCAAAAAATTTTAAAAGAAAATTAAAAATTAAAAAAATATATATATATGCATACAGTGCAGAACGAAATTTGCCAACAAATGAAACCAAACTGTGAAGAAGACACCAGAAATCCAATATGAGGAAGTGAATTTATTCGCTTTTATATCTCTGGAGCTGGTGCAGGAGGCTTCAGAAGCGGTTGGAGAGCCTTAACAACAATGCTCATATTTGGCCGGAACTCAGCCTCGTACTGCACGCATAATGCTGCCACAGCTGCCAGCTGCATCACCCAAAAAATTTTAAAAAAAATGTATAGTTAGCCACTCCATCTGAATTTGTGTGGGCGTGTGCGTGTGCGTGTGCATGAGAGAGAGGGAGATAGAGACCTTGGCAATTCCTTTTGGAGGATACTCGCCCTTGAGCTTCGGATCTACACATTGTTTGACTTTGTCTTCACTCAGTCTTGGAGTGGCCTATAACATAAAATAATGTATTAATCGCAGTCAATATTCTCATGTTAAAAATAATTACTAGCCTAAGAATAAAGAGAATCCAAAACAAAAGAAAAAAGTGAAAGAAAAAAATTCACCCAAGTAACGAGAGACTGTTGTCCACGCGGCATGGTATGGTCAACAGGTTTGCGGCCAGTCAGAAGCTCTAGCAGAACCACCCCAAAGCTATACACATCACTCTTCTGTGTCAATTGTCCAGTCATCGCATATCTACATGAGGTTTTTCAACAATAAATTAATTATAAAATCCGTCTCTAATACAACAGAGAAAACATAGATTCAATTTCGTTATGCATATGACAAGAATTCGGAGATATAGAGACTATAACCAGGCACAAAGACCCCATAATAATCTCTGTTTTAAGGACATTATATGTATAACTAGCTTAAAACAGCCACTACAGTGATCCTTGTTGGTAGAGCAGAAAATAGGTTCTTTTTCAGAGTGAGAAAAAGGTCCCCCCAAAATTAAGTCATTTCCTGGAACTACATTCCTAAAGCACCGCTACTCACCTTGAGAGAGAGAGAGAGAGAGAGAGAACTATCTACGACACAATCAGACATTCACAAATCCAGAAACAATTTTTGCACAAAATAACCCATTCACTTCATTCAAAAGGAAGAAAGTAAGTGCAATACCATTTTCATTGACACATCCTTGAAACTATGCTCGCAAAGGCAGAAGGTAGTTTAACAAATAACCAAAATTTCCACCGAAAATACCATTTTTGGCTTGAATAAGACAGACAAAATTGCTAAAGACAAGTGACAACACCCATAAGTAAAACCATACAAATAAATCCTGCCACATAATAGGCCCCACAGAGAGTATGACAGGATTATGTAAATACCACGTTGAAATCATTAATGGATGTAGCTTAGATTATAGGCAGATACAAGCAGAGGAGCAAATGAGAACCTGTGAAGGGGAAGTTTAGACTAGAAGCAAAACACTCCTTGAATGTACATTTATAGTTTTACTGTCAAAAAATGAAAATCACAAATATCATCCAACAAAACATTGATGCACAAATTATCTCTTCCTAGAATGGACCCAAAAAAAAAAGTTCACTAATATCATGAAAACAGAGTTTATAACAAACTCAGGATCAGTAAGAGTCAACCAACTGATGGCCACTAACAACATTAGGCTTTGTAAGATTATGCACCATGAAAGTAAAACCACCAAACAAGACAGCAAAACATAGATCCATGCACATATGCAAGCTTAAAATAAAAATAACCATATAATTACGTAGTATTGAGTTTCAAAGGTATTACTCTGGTGCATGATAACCAAACGTTCCCAAAACTCGAGTAGAATGAAGTCGAGCAGCCATGTCAGGAGCCTGATTCGAGAGGTTAAAATCTGCAATTTTGGCCTTGAAGTCTTCAAATAAAAGCACATTGCTAGATCTGATATCTCTGTGTATTACAGAAGGTTGAACCTTCTCATGCAAATACTCCAATCCCCTTGCAGCATCAACAGCAATCCTCACCCGTTGCATCCAGTCCAGAACAGGGCCTGGTTGCGCTCCTTGGACTCCCTTTCTACCTATGAAGTGCAAATAATTCAAAAAATTGCTTCTCATTAACATAAGGAATCTAAATGAAATCTTACTCGGTCAACATAAAACATATTGATTACACATACCATGCAAGATGTCGTGTAGAGATCCCATGGTTGCAAAATCGTATGCTAGCACGCGGAGATTTCCTTCTACACAGTAACCAAGCAGCTCAACAAGATTGTCATGTTTCAGTCTTGAAACCATGGAAACCTAAAGTGAAAAGAACAAATAAAATCAGATACAGGGATGGGGGAAAAAAATCACTAATGAAAAAAGCAGGAATCACATTCTCAAGGAAACTAAGGAAATCAAACAATAAAATTTCATAAAGATTGTGCACACACCTGAGTCAAAAACTCAACATTTGACTCAGGCTCAGCCGCAACGTCAAGCTTTTTAACAGCAACAGCTTTTCCATTATTTAAGTTTGCATAATACACTCGTCCATAGGATCCTTCACCGATTAATGCCTTGGATCCAAAATTGTCAGTTTTTTCTTTCAGCTCTTCCAAGGATAGTGCTGGCACTTCAATAGGTGGTACAGCCTTCTGAACATCAGCTTTGACAGGAGCTGCCTTTGGACCTTTTAGTTGCCCTAAAATGTACAAACAGGAGAAGTAACAGCATCAAAAGAATTCAAAAAAACAATTAATCTGATGAAAGCAAAGGTATGGCAGGGTAGGCCTATAAGAGCCCCGCGATAGAAAATAAATAAATCCATATAAAATTTGCAACATAGTTTGATTTATTTAATTTTAAATGTAAAATTAGCACGAAATGCATTCATAGTCACCATTCAATAAGACAACTAATTCGTACTGCACTTTTCCTTCCCCTAATCCCTTCGCTGCTTTCAACAAATCTCTCTCTCTCTCTCTCTCTCTCTCTAAAACATTTTTTCTCTGATAAATATGTCGGCTCTCCCATCCATTCCTCTGACTCCCTCTCCCTCTCCCTCTCCTTATATAGCCATTTCTTTTCAAAAGACAAGTGGAAGAGCTAAAATATAATAGAAATGCAGACTGCAAGTAGGTTTAACCTAATTTATCCACACAAAAAAACAAATAATAATAATTGTATCATTAATACTAATAAAATCACATTTGCATGAAGATACATATAGAATCTGAACGAAAATAATTTAACAAGAAGCTTACTATACACAATATATAAATAAAGATCTGCTGCACTTTACAACCTTTGCTATCTTGAAAATCGGTTCCTAAATCTGTGTTATCAGTTCTGAAAATCTCTTATGAGAAGCATTTCATATTACAATTTAAACATAAGCTTCTCATTTTAGTGAATTCCCCCAAGGAAACAAAATTTCAGCAATACAACAAATTTCAGTGACAAAGATATTGTCAACAAGCTTGGAATTCATCTAAAGGTGAAAGAATTTGCAGCAGGTGGCATTTTTTCATAAGTAATTTCAAGATATACATTGAAATCAAAAAACAAAAGCATAGACTGCTCATGCACACACGAACAAGTGCGTTCAAGCATAGAGTGACCTCAAAAACCCACAATCCCTACAAAAGACCCTTTGCATTTGTTACCCATTCGGTGATATAAAGAGCATATGAGGGCATAAAAACAACATAAACATTATATTGAAGCACTCCATATTCTTCTTTGTCCTTAGTCGCCCAACAATTCCACCCCTGCAAATCCATGAACATAAATGACCTTATTGAGGACATGCTGCTGTATTTTAAAGAATGAGTTTCCTGTTAACCATCATGCCATCCAACATCCAAATACTTCAAAATGTAATTACAGTTTAAAGAAAACGAAACGCCATTATGGTTGTCACATCAACAGAATCATCAAGAAATCTCAAATTAACCAAATCATTAAACCTACAAACTACAAACAAACCAGCTTTATCGATCATTACATCTTCAAAAAAATTGCACGCTTATATAAAAGAAGACACTACTGATTAACTAGAAACAACTTATTTCATAGACAACATTAAATAAGAATCACAGTCAATCTAACATACCATCTGCATGGTTTCTTGGGCTTTTGAAAGGCTCATTGTCAGTTGACGGGTAGGACTCTTCTACTTGACAAGTGCAACACAACCACCTACGCATCCTTGCTTTCTTTCTCAAATAAAGATCGTCAGAACTTGTTTTCTGCAGACGAACAAAATAACCAGGAGGAGACGCATGTGCCTGTGTAATTAGAGTCAAATATGTAGAATTGAAAATGGGGCATCAAAATATCTAAGTCATGCACACCAAAGTCATGGACTATTAAAATTTAACAATATCTTCGCTTTGCACACATCAAAAAAATTCAAAACAAATTTCTAAAATCATTTTACTTTCTTCTAGAACAAAATTTACAATAACAGGCTAGCAAATGAGCTATGACCAACAAAAAAACAAATCTAAAACTGGAGGGGTTTCTATTGGCTTCGAAGACTCCATTGTCTACCTTATCTAGGGGAGCAACTCAGGCAGGCCCAAGTCCAGCCCACAAAATTTTAAGGCTTGAGCAATATAATTTCAAATTTAGTCCAGGCTTGAGCAAAATAATTTCAAATTTAGTCCAAGCTTGAGCTAAGATCTGCCAACCCAAATGTAATTCTGTTTTGGCTTGCGCAGGGGCTTCTCCCAACTCAAGCAAATGTGAATTCTATTGTTAATATATAACTATAATTATTAGATATATAATAAAATGAACTATACACATAAAAATACTCATTATTTCCCACATTAGATTAAATCATACATCAATATAAAAAAGCTTGTGGTGTTCAACAATGGGATGGCAATGGCGAACAACATATATCCAAACAATTCCCATGCTTAGTACATAAAACTCAAACTAATTTTCTTATTATGTTTCATGTTTGTAATTTTTTTGTGATATATATATATATATATTCTCTTATATTTTCAAAAAGTGCAATACATTAGTTTAGGATAACAGATAACTCAACGCTCAAAATGAGATAGTTTTTTCATGTTGTGTTTGGGACAACCCAAGCCTAACTCGAGCTCTGAGATAAGCTTGGTCTCGGGATCAACCTCAGACTGAGACCTGGGTATGCTAGTTTGGACTGTGACGCTCAGCTGAGCTTGGGAAAATCGCTCTACACGGCAAACTGACCTTAGCTAGACCCTTAACTCAACCTGACAAACCTGTCAGGAGTTGCAACCCTAATTATCTATCCAATATCCAGGTGGTTTGAACCATATGCAAACAGCAAGCCTACAATGCGAATATTGACTTACATGTTAACTTGCAGAAAAATACCACAATAAATGCATTTGCAAGCACTTAATATGCTAGAACATAATGTATCTGCTTATGTATTGTATACATTATGTATACACACACGTGTATAAAATATAATGTAATGTTGCCAAAGCAATGTTAAACAAAAAATGAAGGCAAACCCAGCAAAGCAGGGAAGGAATTTCAACAAAATATGTCTTCCCTTGTCTTATATAAAATTTCCTTAGCAATACACACGTGAAATGAAATTCATCAAATTTACAAAATTGTTCAAATGAAATTCATGGAATTCATATTATAGTTCAAGAATTAAAGAAATTCACAAGTACATCAAAGAGACCAATAATTCAAACAGTTAAAGATTTTTTTTATTTTTTTAAATCACAAAGACAAAAAGAGACCCATAGTTCAAAGAATTAAAGAAATTAACGAAAAAAATAAGAGAGACTCACATCAGTTCCTACAACTAGATCATCACGAAGATAGCTGTTATCCATCAGAAACAGACAGATTCAAGGTCTCAGAACGTTAAAATCAAAAAGATAAAACAAACCCAGAAACAAAAAGATAACAATAATGTCTCTCTACACAATTTCAGTGACAAAAATTGGCAATCAAACAAGCAAAATCAACAGACGAATTGAGGGTGCTGAGTCCTAAAAGTAATGAAAAGATCTAAAGAAAATACGAGGGAGCAATTGATAAAACAGAATACCCAAAAAGCGAATGGGATAAAAAAGAAATAAAAAGCCCTAATATTGAATGACAGATAGACAATAATATATACATGCATATATCAAGAATAGGCAATGAAAAAGGATTACCTGGTCGTTTCTCTCTCTTCTTATTTTAGGGTTTGGAAGATCGAATTGTTTAAAAATGGAGAGAGAGAGAGAGAGGTGAGCAGACAGGGAGGCAACGAACAAGAGAGAGAGAGAGTTTTTGAAAGAGAAATCTCTAGCTTTCTCTCTCCTCTATCGCTATATATATGTGCATAGTTTCTCTCACTAGAAAGACAGATCGAGGAGGGGAGAGAGAGTGAGTGGGGTTGGGGGAGACGGTGGGGAATTTCATTGTCTAGCCGTCAAAAAAGCGAGGGGGGCCAACGATGCGTTTTTTGTTTGGGAATACAAAAGATGCTTCTTGTTGACGGTTTTTTCAAGCTTTGTTTCTTTTTGCTAAATTACAAAACCTCCTGTGAATTATTTAAATTATAAATTATTTTTCATAATTTTAAAAATTATATTATGTTTCTTAAGATTTTTAATTTTGTAATAAATAGATCTTTTTATTAATAAATTATCAAGTTAATTAATAATTTTTAATAATATTAAAATTTTATTTTAATTAATAATTCAAATAATTTTAGTATTGTATAAGTGAACAGTTAGAAATTTCACTTTTTTAATTAATTCTGTTAAATAAAAAATTCTAATAATGAGATATTTGTAATTTTCTAAACTATATGGGACAATTCGTATTTTAAGTAAATCTCAAGAAATGTATTTATAATTTACCCTTTTCTTTTTCTTTATTCTTTTTATATTTAATTTACATTGGGACCCAAATTATTTATGTAAATTCGTAAAAATTTATATAAATTTGTGTAAGAATTTTTTTAAATTTATATGTACTATAAAAAAATTAAACTATTATAATTCAATTCATATTTAACTCATTAAAAGTCAAAAATTATTAAAATAAAATATTTTCAAACTTCATTTACTGTCCTAACTCCGCAAAGTCATATTTTCTCCCTTATTTGGGGTTTTTGACAAGTTTTATTTAGAATCTTTCTTAATTAATGATTGTCATAAAAAAAAAAATTAATAATTGTCAAATTTGTTCCAAATTTTTTATGCTTAAATAAAACTGATTTAAATTGCAAATAGCTATCCAAATTATTAACAGAACAATAATAAATTTCACTTAAATTCTTAAACAATGCTTTTTATGTTACTTTAATCCTTAAGTTTAAACTTTGTTAATTTAATCATTAAACACTCTTGGATTATGTTTCTTCGTTCATCAGCCTTTAACGACAAAGTAATAAAAATAATTTTTTTAGAGTCAAACTAACACCGACCAAGTATTAATTTTATTGGGTAATGAATTCCTACTAATTGAATTTTCACTTTGCATTTAGAGTTTAGTCGGTTAAACATAGGCTTCCTTTGGGAAGGTGGGTTAAAAATACTTCTCAATTTTTAATTTATTTTAAATCATATTATCTCTCATATTTTTTATATTTTTTTTAAGAAAAAATATAAAATTAATTTTTAATCATCTTCCCAAAATACCCCATAATAATTTTTCTGTCTCAAAATATTAGCTTCTTATTTCATTTTTCATTATTTTAAAACTAGTGTTTCACCTATACTATGCACGGGTTGTGGTTATAATTATTTGTATATATGTAAATTATAATTTTTAAATGTCTTATTTTTTAATATATATATGGTATATATTTCTACATATATTACGCATTGATTTCATAGATATATTAGGTATTGCATAGTTAAGTTTCTTATAAGATACTTTTTCCCAACCTATATATACAAGTTTTCTATTGTATAGGATAATTCATTGAATACAATACATTTTTTTTTCTCTCTCTCTCTACTATTCTAACATGATATCAAAGCTATAGGTTGAGCTCTTGGTGATCTTCGCCTTACCGGTGGGCGGAAGCCTTGCCTTGGCCACCTGTCGGACCTTAACCTATTTCATTGTCATATTTTCTAGTTAGTATCGCTTCGTGACAATCCATTTCTTTGTCCACTGGTTTATTCCTACCCTAAATACCCCTATCATATTTATTTATTTATTTATTTTTGTTTGTTACTTGCAATCTTCTTTTTTTTTCCACTTTGTCTTTCTCTCTGCTTCAACCTCAAAAGGGGTTTCTATTTTTAAACATATTTGAGTTTGAGAGGAGTATTATACCTATATCTTGATGAACATGGTTATACACTATGCAAACCACCTAAGTCGTCCCTTGTGGCGCACAACTCAAGCCGCCCCCTGTGGCGTACCATTAAAGTTGCTCTCTGGCGCACCATCCAAGCTGCCCTTGGCGCACTCAGTCATCTATTGCCATCATCGTTCAGCACCACATCATAAGTTATGTGTGTGCCACATTTGCTGGTTCAACATCCGTTCTCTACATCGGTCTGGCATGACCCCATTAAATTGTCTCAACATTGATTTCGGTTAACCAATCTCTATAACAGTTCGGCATAACCCCGTAAACTGTCTCGACATTGATTTCGATTAGCTCCTACAACGGTCCAACATGACCATAAACTGTCTCCCAGCATTAGCTTTGACCTCTGATCTCGGTATTAGTTCCAGCCAGTTTCTATATCAGTCCGGTACGACCTTAAACTGTTTCGGTATTAGTTTTAGCCAATTCCTACAATGGTCCGACACGACCATAAATTGTCTCTCGGCTCCGGCCTCTAATTTCGGCATTAGTTCTAGCCAATTTCTATATCAGTCCGGCACGACCTTAAACTGTCTTGGCATTAGTTTCAACCAGTTCCTACAATGGTCCGATACAACCATAAATTGTCTCCCGACATTAGTTCCAGCCTCTAATCTATTTCAAGCGCCCTTGCGCTTCCGTTTGAATTTTGCAATCTATCTATCTTTTATTTTATTTAGTTTTAATTCATATTTTAGTTTCTCTCTCCAAACTCAAGATGTTTATACTCTTTGAGTTTGAAGGAGGATGTTAATGTCACGACCCCAAACCGCCCCTAGTAGTTTGGTGCCGTGATGGCCAGTAATCCAAGATTACCGAAGGCCAACTTTCAAAATTTACACGTAATCAGAGTATAAAGATATGGGGCTCACAAGTGCGGAAGCAAAAATACAAGTGGTCCATAAGAGCAGTGCATAAGTCAAATGGAATGGCATACAACTTTACATAGCTTTACAACTTGAATACAAATAAAATGAAGTACAAAAATACATATTACATCTTAACAAAAGGCTTCTCAAGCCGACATAAATATAATACATGGAATACAAGTCAAGAGGCATAATCTTCAAAATTTGCCGACATCCTCACTGCCGACATAACATGCATACAAACACACATCTCGGCGTAGCCGACTTCTTGCTTGTTACCTACATATATACATAGGGAGGGTGAGCTTGGATACTCAGTGAATGGTACAAGTAATAAAGGTTTTAAATGAATGATACCCGAGATCTTTTCAAAACTATACATAGTATATCCTTGTCAAAACCATACATAACATAGCTTAGCTTGGCTTGAAATAAAACCTCATTCGAAACTTGGTCTTTCAAAACTTACTTACTTAACATACGTCAATCTTAAAACATAACCTCGGCATAACCTTGGTTCTTCAAAACAAAAGCATAACCTTGGCATTGAGCACACCCGTTAATAGTCCGTCGGTGGCCGATATCTTAACAAGGGTGCTACTTAGGCTTAACGTCCCCTAGCACGGAAGGACGGTGCTACTTAGGCTTAAAGTCCCCTAGCACAGAAGGACGGTGCTACTTAGGCTTAAAGTCCCCTAGCACAGAAGGACCCTCAAAACAAGATGTGCTGTGAAAGTTTAGAGTCCTCCAGCGCAAGGGACTTCCAAAACAAAGGAATAATCGACCCGGAATCGATTAGACAAACCCACCCGCACAAGGCAGTCGGTGGCAAGGGAGATATCTCAAACAAGGGTGCTGCGAAAGTTTAGAGTCCTCCAGCACGAGGGACCTATGTTACAAAGGCCCGTAGCCCTTTAACACTAGAGTGCTGCGAAAGTTTAGAGTCCTCCAGCACGAGGGACTTTCAAATCAAGAGGTGCTGCGAAAGTTTAGAGTCCTCCAACACGAGGGACTTTCCGAGAATGTCGTCAAAACAAAGCTTACTTGATACATTGTCATTCAAACAAAACATATACTTGATACATAAAATAGGGATATCATTCATGCTTAACAAATACTTTTATCAAAACAAAGCAAAGTTTTATCAAAACCTTAAGAACATAACTTTATTAAAAACACCACTCACATAGTTCTTGGGACGTCTGGTCAAGGCAAAGGTCCAAGTCCTACAAACACATGGCAAAATCTACTGAACATACATCTCAAAACAAGTCTTACATATATGCAAATGATCTCGGAAAACATGCTGGTAGTCAAAACACTATTTTACATGTCAGGAAGACATGCTGGGTACCAACCAGGTCTTTGCCGAGGTCCCACACCTCCTGGCCGAGGTGTGGCTACCCTGGCTTCGGCAAGCGACTGCATGCCGAGGTGCGCACAAGACAAACTAAAGGTGTAAGTGATCATGCAAGGTAGGCCAAGGTGAGATACGATGCTTGGCCTAAGTATGAGGTCTAGGTAAGAGTGATCTCGACGAATACACCTCGGGAAGTGAGGTCTGGAGATCTGGGTTTCCACCCGTGAAGAACAAGAAGAACATGAACATGAAGATCATGAAGAACATGGATGCCAAAATCATAACTTCTTTATTTACAAAATGTGGAATTTCGTGCTATGAGTTCGAAAATATGGACCTGGGTACCCATACTTGAAGATCATGTGAAAACAAACACAAAAACATAAATCTAGACATGAGCTTTCGAATCAAAACATGACTTTCTTAAAGAACACATGAATGCTATTTTCTCTTTCTAAAACCGAACTTCAAAGCAATGCATAGCTTACAAATCATGTTCAATCATGCAATGCAATAACATAAACATAAAGAACGACAAGAGCAGATTAAGAATCTAACCTTAGAACACGGATCTAACGGTTCGATCTCAAGGAATCAAGCTTGGAAATCCACTCTCCCTCAAGAACTCTTCTTCCTCTCCTAGAGCTTCTCTCTCTACTCTTCAAAACAAGTATAGAAACAAATGATGGGTTTCTCTCTCTGCCGGCTGACTTAACTCTCAGCTCGGACACGTGGCAGCGGCTGGTTGGTTCTCCTCAAAAAGGTAATAGATTGACAAGACAAGACTATGACAAAGTGTATCTAACAAGCTACTCAGTATGGCACTCCGACAAGTGGTGACATCGGCTAA